GCTGCCACTTGGAGATGTAGCCTTTAGGAAATGCAGGTGGATATGTCTCGTAGGTACTTGCAGCAAGACTGCCAGTTGTCTCTAAATTGTCTTTCTTCAGTAGTAGAACTGATTTTTAGGTGGGCATGTTGCAAACCAGGTAAAAAAAAAAAATCTAGTCTCTCTGCGGTTAAGCTCTGGTTGCTATGTTACCTGAAGGATGTGTGGGACTTGCAGAAATTCTCCTTTAAAGAGAATAAAGTTCAATCTTTCTTCCCCCTTCTTCCTTCTTGTAGTCTGGGATATGGATGGATATGATGGCTGGAGCTCCAGGGCTCATCTTGGACCATGAGGCCAAGGACTATACAAGGGATGGTAAATCAGAGAGCTGGAAGGAGCAGGGTCCCTGACAAATCAATGAAGTGCCATGCCAGCCTTGGACTGCCTCCCTGTGGGCTCCTTTTACATGAATGCATTTAAGCCACTATTTTTCAGGTCTCTGAAATGAAAGTAATTCATAACTAACACTGAATTTGTTACTGGAAATGGAGTCTGTGGTAACAGAATCCAAAAAGTGATAATTCACTTACTGGAAGAGGGGCAAGGTCAACTTTAAAGATTCAGTTATTACAGAATGGGATTTAAAACTTGGCCACACTTTGTTGACAGGCTTCTTTTCAAGAGATGGAATCTTTGTCCCCTACCCTTAAATCTAGGCTGGCTTGTGAATGCTTCTGTCATTAGAGTACAGTGGAAATGGTGCTATGTGACTTCTGAGGCTAGATCGCAATACTCCATGCAGCTGCCACTGTGTAACACTCACTCTTGGAGCCCTGAGCTGCCATTGAAGAAGACTCACTATGGCCCAGCCAGGCGTGGCTCAGCGGCTGAGCATCGACCTGGGATCCAGGAGATTGCAGTTCCCCGTCAGGGCACATGCCCGGGTTGTGGGCTCGATCCCCAGCAGGGGGTGTGCAGGAGGCAGCCGATCAATGACTCTCTCATTATTGATGTTTCTGCCTCTCTCTCTTCCTCTCCCTTCCTCTCTCTGAAATCAATAAAGACATATTTAATAATAATAATAAAAAAGAAGACTGACTATGCCGAGATCACCAGCCTGGGGAGGCCACATGAAGGTGCTATGACAGTCAGTCAAGCTCAGCCTGTCCTTCATTCTCCCCAGCCTTCCCAGCTCAGGCATCAGATATGTGAATGAAGTAGCTATCTCAAAAGTGGGTCCTTCAGCCTCAACTGTTACAGACCCCAGCCACCTGAGTCCTCCCCAGCAGTTCAAGTTATTTGAGCTGAGGCCCCACACATGGAACAGATAAGAGTTGTCCTTGCTGTGCCCTTGCCAATCTCCTGACCCACAGAACCTGTGGGCATAATCAAATGGTGGTGGGGTTTTTTGTTGTTGTTTGTGTGTTTTTATGCCTTTATACTTTGGGATGTTTGGTTGTTCAGCAACAGATAACTGGAACAGCTGGTAATTCTTATTATCTTGTTAAGATAAAAGTTTGGGTTGGTTTTTTTTTTTCTCACAGAAAAGAATTCCAGGTCTAGGCAGGCCAGGACTAGTTTGGTGTCTTCAGAGTCAGCAAAGTCCCCCTGCTGCCAGGAATGTGGACATGATGGGTGGAGCTGCAGCAGCCATAATGAACCAGAAGGCAAACTTGAGGATGGCAGAACAAGAGCTGAAAGGTCTCTGATAAGAAATAAACTTCTTCTGTCTTGTTTAAGCCACTGTAATTTTAGACCTTTTGTGTTACATAGCAGAAGTAACGCTAACTGGTAGAGAATTTGAGTACATGAATCAAGAACTTAGGAAATTAGTTTGGCTAGAGATAAAGGTTTTAGAGTTTTCAAAATAGAAGCAGTAGTTGAAGTCCTGGGTTTATACGAGATTGCTTTAGGAGAGTATAGAGTGAAAAGAGAGGAGAGCTAAGGAGAGAACCTCAAGGAATACCAGCATTTAGAGGATCACTAGGGAGGTGAGGCCAGGAGGGGCGCTTGAAAGTAGGAAGAAATCTAGGACAGAAGGTATCCAGCAAACCCGGCCCCTTCCTTCTAGGGCTGGGTTGGCAGCCCCTAATGTATGCCTCTGTGCACACAGCTAACAGGGAACTTTCTCTCTGTATTGCAAGGCTCCTTTTCCATGTGTGCCTCCTACATGGGACCCGAAGGAAGCTCCTTGAAGTGTGTGTGTGTGTGTGTGTGGGGGGGGGGGTCAATTGTTAATCCTTTTATTGTCCCAGACCTTCCAACAGTGACTGGCACATAATGGGAAGGCAACAAATATTTGCAAGCAGAACCGAATTGAACTGCGGTTGGCAAGGAAGTCATGGGAAGGGAGGGTTTCAGGAAGCAGGGAGTGGTCAGTAGTGCCAAATGCCGAGATCAAGTAAGATAAGGCCTGTAAAGGGCCAGTGCCATTTGACTCTGTATCTGGAAACTGGGAGGGCATTGGTGACCTTGGGGAGTAGTGTTTTCACGGGGATGTAGAAGGAGAACACATCTGCTGTGGGACAGGGTGGCTGGGTTGCGTGACAGTGTGGTATGCTGGCCACACTCCTGGGAAGGAAAAGGGAGACGAGGAGGAAGGACACTGGGGGAGAGAGGAATTTTTCTTAGCTTTTCTATTTAACCATGTTACAGGTGGAGAGCAGGGAACCTGAGGAGGGAGCCTCCCTGGCCTCGCCAGGACACGGTGCCCTGGCCCCTCTGAGAGCTGATGACACTTGTTCTTTAATCCTTGTGTGGCCCTGTAACATCACCAGCATTGTTTTAGAAGCTAAGTCACTAGTTAACTTCTCAAAGTTGCATAAAAACCTGTCCGTGTTTTTCTCCCCAACCCCAATCTAAGTTTCTGGGAAGCAGGGGCTGGTTGCTGACCGCGACCACCGTGCACTAAGGAATTGCTCAGCTGGGGCTGGCGGCACTTCCTTCCTCTCGCTCCACCAGCGCTTCCTGAAAACCGTGGGGCTTCAAACAGCGTGGGTCAGCAAGAGCTTGCCCTCCACTGGTTGCTGACATGGCTTCATAAAAAGAGGAGTGCCCCACACATGAAGGCAGGGGCCCCTGCAGGAGAAAAGGAAGCTGCCTGGGAGAGGAGGGAGGGGATGGAAATGTCTTTCTGACACCTCTGGCGGTGGCCAGGCAGGAACGAGGCAGGAGTTATGCAGGTCGTACAGCATCAGGTGGGAATGAAAGCGGATGAGTCAACAGCATTTACCCTCATGGCCATTTTATTCCATGCTCAGATAATACAATGATTTTAGAAACCTCACTCTACCTACTTTGATGAATCCAGGCAGGGCTGCCTTGACCTTACGACAAACAGGTCTTGCAGCGTGGCTCACTCTGATAATTTAAGGAGAGCCTGTTTGTTGCAGATGGAAGGAAAAGATGTCAAAGTGGAGGCAGCTGGCTGCTGAGGTGGAGGGAAGGGGTGGGTCCCAGGTTAGCATTATCTGGGTGGGGACCAGTTTTGCAAGTCCAGGAGCCCAGTTTATCAGTGGCTCAGGGGAGTCGTTCGTTTATGCTTTCTAGGCTAAAGGAGGTGGGAATCTCCTTAAAATGTAGATTGGTTCAGTGTGGCTGGGGTGGGGCCTGAGATTCTGGATTTCTAACCAGTTCCCCACCACACTTTGAGTAGCAAGGATGTGAATTGGAGGCCAAATTTTCTAAACTTTTGGTACCTGTCACCACTTGTTTCCTAATAACCAAAGGACTGCTTAGGGAGCACAGTGGCCCAAAATGAGGGACATGTCTTCCAGGTTTGCTGGGCTTCATGCAGACTACATGCCTTTCTGGTTTTACCTTCCATCCGCCTGGGCATCTCAATGGCTCAGTTTATACATTTTTCAAGTTCCCAGCCTGATGGGAGACCTGGATTCTTTGATTTGACTTCTTTGGCCCAGGGCTTTCCCAGCAATTCATCTGGAAACCATCACCAGGGATGGCTTTTTCTTCAGGGCTAACCTGGTCCTTTCTGGGTAGATCCTTCTTAGTTTCTTTCTCTCAGGGTGACTCTCCAAGAGCTGGAATGTGCTGGCTATGGTGTTTACATGATAAATAACAGGAATCCCATTTAGAAATAAATAATCCCATCTGGAAAACAGAGGGGAGGGTGCAAAGAAAACTGAGAAGTGCTCCTGGAGCAGGTTGATCAGCAAGTGTCAGCTTCCTGGAATGGGCGGCACTGGTCAGCATCAGCAACCTGATGCCTCACTCCATTTACCTGCCTCGACACCCCTGAGTTGCATCACAGTTTCTTGGGCTGTGAATCTGAGTCGCAGACTTGGGCTTTGCCTGGCATTTCTTTGGAGCTTAATGCTCAGACATGGTTGTCTGGTAGGGATCACAGGAGTCACCAGTCCTAGGGCTCTGAATGGCTACAGAGGGACTGCTGAAACCTATCACCTGTTTGGCTTTGTTGTTGAAGAGACCAGGATGTCTCTAGTTCTCCATTTACATCTTCTAGCATCATGCTCCCTATTAATAGCCTGATTCATAAAGATAAAATATAATTGCCTACAAAATTCACAAGAATATAGTTGACTTAAATTTTAAAAAGTGCTTTTTTTCAGAGAACCCAGAGTACTTCTCATGTCCTCTGGTGCATCCCCGAGGTCCTCCACGCCAGGATGCAGAGAGGAGCAGGAGGGGAGGGCTCTGAGCTCCAACTCAGTCTGAGGTTTCTGGGGAACCAGCCTCCTCCTCAGGTATTGCTTTTATTTCTGGACTTTAGGCATGTGTGGGGGCCTATGTCTACTGGACCCCTTTCCCTATAGGGAAAGATTTAAAAAATCCAGTGGGTATAATCCAGTGGTCTCTTTCTCTTTCTCTGTCTCCCTCAACTTTTAAAATTTAAATTTACATTTTTTTGATAGAAGGCCCAGACCAGCCTGCCTGCACCCCTTGCCAGACAGCGAAGCCAGCTATGTGGGCTGGTCAGCGCTGATGGGTTCCGCTCCTGAGCTGGTGGAAGCAGACACAGAATCAGTGAGGTTCCCCAGGACCTAGGGACACTGGTTCTTCAGGAGTTTCTTCTTCTCCACTGCCATCCTCAGGGCCTGAAGGAGCTGGTCTTTGTTATTCAGGATGTTGTACTCGCAGAGGTTCACCAACTTGTCGAAGGCAGCCTCCGTGTATGTCAGCTCCTTGGTGGCATAGGGAGTTTTGGGGCCATAAATGTCAACCTGGCCCTTCTCCAGCTCCTCGGGGCTTCGCTCCACACCTGGAGGCAGCAGAAGGACTTGCTATAGACTCTTATTATGTTAAATTGTAATGACTTGTGTCCTACCTCTCCCCCAGCCCACCTTGGCATGCACGCGCGCAAGTGCGCGCGCACACACACACACACACCCCTCCAAGCTCCTAGGGCAAGGGCACAGCTTTCCCATCTTAGGACTGCCCCAGCACCAACACAGTGCCAGGAGCATAGCTGGATCTTAATAAATGTTGAGTAACTGAGTTTGAGAGTAAAGTTTGACATTGCCAGCTCACGGAGCTGTGGGGGTCTTTTCTTTCTTGCCAAACCAAGGTTGACTCAGTCTGGAGCTAAGCAGGCTTCCTGTGAGTGCTATTAGAAGATGGCATATGTTTAAAGACAGGAGCTTCAGTCCAAGGCCAGTGGGTGGTGGGAAGTGAGCTCACAGGTGGCTTACCTGGGGCCTTGTACTTTTGGAAGGTGTCACTGATGAGTGGGAAGAAAAGCACAATGGGGGCATCAGGCTCCTCGGAGTTCTTCATCAGGTAGCATTCCTTGAGATTGTTATTCCCCTCCTCTTGGATGTCATAGTTGGGGAAGGGGATGTTCTGCACAGAGCAGTACTCACAGGTTTGTTTCATTGGCTAGAATATCACAGGAAGATATGTTTGAGGATTTGGGGTGGGGGAGAGGGTGGATAAAAAACACAGAGATCTTAGATCCAGCTTCCTGATTTCCCCAGCTAACAACTCAGGTCTCAAGCAGCTTGGCCTATTTGTGCTATTTTTAGAACAAAGCCTGGTCAGGACAAAGGGCCTGAGGCAGTAGGTTGGTGTGTGTCGAACTGTAAGCTCCTTCCCCGTGTAAAATGGACAGAAGCCCTTTAGATGATGCTTCATCCAAACACAGACTTGGGTGGATGTGGACGGCAGCCTGAGGGTGATGAGCTGAGCCACATACAGCTCTGGCTGGCAGGCTCCTGGGGGACAAGTATGGGCTTTGGAACTGACAAAGTGTCGGGGGCTGCAAAGGACTCTGAAAGGGTATCATTATAAATGTAATGTAACAGAAAGAGCAGTGGACGTAGAGGAACAGATCCCCTTAGTTTGCCCCCCTGTTCCACACTCACTAGCTGTGTGATCTTAAGCAAGCTACTTATCCTCTCTGTGCCATAGTTTCCTCAGCTACAACATGGGAAAAACAGCAGTTGTGCCATCTACCTCAAAGAGCTGGTATCAGGATCAAGTGAGATCATGTGTAGGGAAGATGTTGTCACTCATTTACAAACTTAAGTTATGGCAAACACTCAGATGCAAGAGTTGGAATTAGCTCAGTGAGTCTTCCCAAACCCAGGGGACAGAGTGCGGGGGAAGGGGGGCACTGCCTGTGAAAGGCCAGCAGGCTGCCCCCTGAGGCTTGGATGGCGCCCTTCACAGCACGCACTGCAGCTTGAGTTTCTCCAATGCTAAATCTTGGAGCCTGGAGGGGGCTCACGTTCTGGTCTGTTACAGAAGAGGAGAGCATTTTATTGTCACACTTGCCTTTGTCTGGGACCCTGCACAATAATTGAGGTGGATGATGAGGTCAGCTTTCCTCTCCGGCCTGAGGAGGGGTGGGTAGCTGGAGTTGACAAAGAACGCAGTGTCCAGCAGACACAAGTGGTTCACGGACTGTGTCAGCTGGTTCGGGAAGCTGTCAAGCACAGTGTCTGAAATCCAAGACTTGCAGTTACCATGACACCCCGGTACTTGATCTCAGTGGACGGTCAGAGGTACCTGGTAGGGATGGAGTGCCCTGCCCAGAGCTCATGCACCTCAGCCTGGACCTCCAGCCCTCCCAGGTCTGTCTAGGATGCCCAGGTGAGTGGGTGCCCCTTGGGGTGGGCTGATGAAGAACAGCATTATCTTGGGGTTTTAGCAAGTCTTTCATGGGATATGTACAGAAGACCCAGTACAACTCAGCCACAGGGCTTGTGGAGTAGCAGGGTGTAAGACTATCCTATAAATTGGTACAAACTCTGGGCGCGGAGCCAGTGGCCCTTTCTACCCAGACAGTAAGATGAGGATTATTAGGCCAGGCCTAAGCAGCCATTTGCAGGCCGTGGCCAGATAAAATACAAAAGGTGGTGGGAAATCAACCTCAGAGCCTTAATGTAGTGGGGAGGAGGCACTGAGCTGAGCCTGCAAGACCAAAGTCTAAGGTCTGGCTCTGCTACTTCCCCCTTAGGGGTTCTTGAGCTGAGCCATCCCTGCCCAACTCAAGGTGGCACCATTTGCATGCAAAGATGCCCCTGGAGCACAACTGCAGAAAGTCTCATTTCCCCACTGTAAATAGGCCAACTTCTACCTGCTGGGATTGTTGGATAGATTCAATGAACTAACTATGTATACTGCTCTGCCCAATGTTCAAGACTTCACCCAGGAATACACCATGGGGTGGGCTGGTCTGCCACATGGCCTCATGAAAATGGTCAGAGAGTTTTTTCATCCTATTTCCATGGCTGCCTTGACACCCTTTTCCTTCCTCCAGACATAGGCGGGCCTCAAGTAGCAGCCAGGCAGGGGTGGGGTACCTTTCCACTTGGAGAACTGGCCATTCTGGAGGTAGTTGGTGTGCAGCTGCAGCCCCAGCAGGAAGTTGTGGAACTCAGACACAAACGAGCGGTAAGTGAGGATGTGGCGGAAAGTATTGGAGAGCCATGACCCTGGGATCACCACCGAGGTCTCCAGGGCGTTGGCATCACATTTGGGGATTTCAGGAAGGAGCGGCTCATCTTCTGCAGGGGAGAGGGTGTGGAGAGAAGGTCACAAGAGTTGGGGTCCCAGATTGCTCAGGCAGAGCCCTGCATGGTGGCCCAGCACCAGGGGTGAGTCACTGTAAGTGCCATTCGCACCTTAGTGCATAGCTCTCAAGACCCTGGCATTGGAGTTGGAGCACCTACGTGAGACACAGAACAGGGGTTGCGGGGAGAGGTAACAAGTAGGAGGGGTTCCAGAGAGGCTGGTCTAGACCAGCAACCTTTAACTGTGCTCATAGATCCCTACCCCCTTCAGCTCTCTGGGGCACCGCACAGACTACAGAGTGAATCTACTCCCCAGACCAACTAGCCCTGGCCCCCGGGGGCCATATGTCTTCATCTACAATCACCCTCCCCTCTAGGCAGGGAAGACCCTCTAGCCCTAGCTGCCTCCCCGTGTTTGTGGGCCACAGAGATGGTACTGAAACACCTGGCACATAGACTAATCCTCAGTTTGTGATCCACTGCTCTCCCCCCCTCCCCCATTACCCAACCAAGAGGGGAAGCCAGTGGGTTTACCCACCAATGTCTTGTACTTTCTCCCTTGTCCACCTGTGAAAAAACTCTTCTGAAGATCGGGCAAAATTCCAGGCATCGAGCAGGTTCACAGAGAAGATGCTGCTCCATAAACCTAGGGAGCAGGGCCAGCTGTGAGCAGCTCCATCCAAGAGCCCCCAGACTCACCCAAACACTGACTGGGTCTGCTTTGGCCTTGCTTCCCACTCCAAGTCAGGCTGCTCAGAGGCTGGGACAGACTTTGATGTCCCTCTGCCCATAGTGTAGCTCAATCCTGGCCACATGACTGATGATCCCCAGCTCTCAGTCTTTTCCACCCTCCTCTCAGAGCTGGGAGAGGGTACAAAGGTATATAAGGCACAACCCCAGCAACGACTTAATGTTGATAGGTGCAGGCTTCAAGTTCAAGTCCAAATGCCCAGTCTTGTATCAGTTAATACACTAGTTTAGGTACATGCCTGGCACATGATGAGCACTTGATAACTCTAATGTTATCTCTTATTATCATGATTTTTAAATGTAACACATTAATAATAACAATCATGAAATCTTTCACATACGTTGACCCATTTGGGTCCTCATAAGATAGGGTTTATTCTTAAGCCAGATTTACAAATGAGAAAACTGAGGCCCAGAGAGTTCAAGCCCAAGTGTCTTAACTATAAATCTCTGAACCACATGCCCAATAGCATAGGTGTTAGAGGAAGGAGAGGCCACCACGGGCTGGGGCTTCTGGGCAGGTTTCACAAAAGATACGGGGCTTGATTTGAACCTTCTGGGATGGGCTGGATTGGAATAGATGGGAGAGGGGTTGGGGTGTAGAGAACTAGTTTAAGTAAGGGCATAACTCTGGTGAGGATGAAAAATGGGTCTGTTTTTTGAAGATGCCCTTTGGTGGATGAAGTTCATACTCTGAAGGGGAGAATTAAACGAGTGGGCATCATAGTCAGGCCCCTGCACCCAGAGCGCCAGCATGGGGCAGGGTTCTCAGGGGCCTCCCCCATCAGGAGTCACCTAGCAGGTAGCACATCCGAGACTCTGGGATCCTCCGCATCAGCCGTCCCATGAAGAACTCGGAACCGAAGAGCTCGGTGGGGACGAAGGCCCCATACTTCTGCATGCCCACCTCGTACGGGGAAAACTCGCACCACTCTGCACAAGCAGCAGGGCAGGGTGTCAGTCTCAGGTGGTACAGCCACGCCCTCCATCCTGGCCACCTGAAACTGAGACCCTTCCTTGGGAAGACCTGGACAGTGAGGCCACAGTACCCCCACAGGACACATGGGGGCGCCATCGCCAGCTTCAGCTGGCTGGGCAAGACAGTTTTGCAACCTGCATGGCACATTTGCTCCTCAAAACCAGATAAACAGGGACCAAAACTGACCCCAAAGCAGAGCTGACCCCAAAGCAGGGCAGGTATTTAGAGTCTCTCCCTCAGGGCAGCTTAAGAAATATCTAGGATGCTTTCCCTCATGACCTTTATTTCCCCCTGTCCCCTCAAACCGCCACCCAGGGAAGCCAGGGGACCCTGTCCCTATCCCCCACCCCTCCCTCTTCTCCACCATCCATGCCCCAGGGCAGAAAGGGGTAGCAAAGTCTATTCTTCAGCTGTAAGGAGCACCTTTTGATGTGAAGGTTGGCAAAGGTGTGGGAGGCCTGTGTGCTGGGTGCAGGGTGACTTTGCTTGCTGAAAAGGGACCCCCTCGTAAATTGCTAGTCATCAGTGTTACCTCTGAAATCCTGGTTGCTTACATCGTCCTTGACATTGATGGTGAGGTAGATGGGCAGGGGGTTCTGGCCCTGGCTCAAAGCAGCACGCTGCTCTGACAGTTTGCATTCATTTCTCTGTGGGGAAATAAAGGGGGTTAAGGAAAAGAAGCAGACAGCTCCAGGACAGCACAGAATGAGGGACAGCCCAGACTTCCTGAGCCTACCAGGCTGCTTTGTAGGCCCCGGCTGACAGCAGTGAAACCTGCTTTTAAAATGCACCAGTAGGAGGTGCACTCATCCTGGACTGTTCACTGCTGCAGACATGTGGATGGTGTGGGACTGCATGTGCAGTTCAGGGCTGTCCCTCAGAGTCGCAGGGTTCTCCTGGTGTCTCGGGAACCAGAGAATGAAGACGTTGGGGTGGAAGAGGCCACCACAGCTCCTCTTCATCCCCTCCTCTTCCACCCATTCAAACTGGACCAGCTCCATTTTTCCTATCTGCTTTGCGTGTTGCATAAAATGTGCTTGGGAGGGGAAAAAAGCTCCCATCCTCCCTCC